CTTAGAAACTGTTTACTTCAGTCTCTGCCATGAAAGATTTTGAGTAGAATCTTTTTTGTACTTTTGCCTTCCTTTCTTTGAGCATATCCATTTCTGAAACTATTCTCTGGACAGAATTCTTAGATACTCAACTACACTAGTGACTTGCTCATGCTCCATGGTGCCACTCCTCCAGAACTAATTTCTTTATGGTAGTTAACTGATGTTTAAATGAATGTCTGATGTAGTCATAGTATGCATTCTATTCCCTTCTTGTGTCATGGGGCAATACATCAAGCTGCAGTAAATGCAGTAAACTAATGTGTGTGAACTTCCGTAAAGTTTATGCTTCACGTCAGACACAGCAGTCTATTCATGTTCATGACACACTGGCTCAGTTTCAGTTAATTCCTTATGACTTACATGCACAGTCTAAAATAGCCCCCTAGGCTGTATAGTATTTATATGCACAGTATGCAAGTCTGCTTGTAACACTTCAGGGTCTTCAGTAAGACCATGCAGTTGGGCCCCTGGGCTTGAGTGAGTTGTCCCAAAGCAACAGATACAGCTCTGTGAACAGGACTTGGAATGCAATAAAATGGCACTGCACCTCTGCCGTCCTACCTCATTAGCAGACTTTTCAGTTAGTATTTGACTGAAAAAGCCACTGCTGCTCTGTGGCTGGAAAGAGAACTTTTGGCACGTTAGGAAATGCAATCCTAGAAGACATGATTAAAAATACTTTTCTGTGGAGGTTGGAGGCACAAACATCTGATAAAATCCCTTATGGACTTGGAAACGTTCTCAGGACAAAAGCAGGAGAGCACAGTGACATTCACCTAAAATTGGGTGAATGTCACTGGGTAGTTATTACTGTTGTTGAAGATCTCCTTTTGACTTGGAAATTCATGTGATTACCCTGCACAGAAACAGTGCCTCAGTAGCAAACAGCCAAAGGCTTGGCAAGACAGCTTGTTTAAAATAGAAAACTAGAGCTATTCTTAAATTTGAAAAATGACATGCACAGAGAACATTGCCTTTAACCCTCAGTTGATTCTGCTGGAAAGGCCTGGAGGTCTCATACATATTTTTGCCTTCCCAACTGTTGTCTAAGTAAGTCTTGCACAAACTGTGTTTCCTAGAGTTCATTTTGCTCCATTTCAGGGAGCCTATGATAGCTGAAAGGATTTCTGACTGTGTAAAATGCCCTGGGGTCCAGGTCTTATGCAGAGCTGGACTATGGTCTAATCCATACTGTATGTTGCCAATGGTCCTCACCACAAGATTAAGGCTTTTGTGAGTTCAAGATTTGCTTCTGCTTCAACATTTATTAGAATACAGCATTTGTTTTTGGCTCTTTGTATGTCTACTTTCAAACAACTGATTCCAAGAAAAACACAGAAATGAAATTTACGGCTTTTAACAATAACTGTTAGCCATATGTAGTGCTAATTATGCTATCTTAAATCAGATATGGGATATACACACATTAGAAAGAAACAAATCAGCTATGCAAGTATATTAAACAATACTGATATGATGGCTTCTTATTAAATATATGCACTTCTCTGATCCTGCAGCCCTAACTGCAAATAAGCTTTTTAAACTTTTTTTTTTTTTTTTTTTTTTTTAAGAGAGTCATTACAGTCCTGCTGAATAAATATGCTAGAGGGCTGCCTTAGGCCACTTCCACATCATTCCTTTGTGATGTATAAATGCATTGTATTTCTTACACTATCATGAATTATTTATCAGACTTCTGCATGCACAAACCTACAGGTAACATGACACATTTCTTAACTGAAGTATAGGAAATACAAGGCTCTTTGTATGAGCAAACAGAACACAGAATCCTTTTATTAGTTCCCTGCTCTAAGATTTTTAAAGTTCTAATTAGTGAATAAGTTCAACTTTGAATTATGTTCTCCAAACGTATCTTTATCATTTATATCAGTGATGATCTTCTGAAAATGTCTTGGAAGTCTTCTAGGTATTTGGCTAGCTTAGCAACCATTTGGTAAATGTCAAAGGGTGAACACCACAACTGGGTCAGCAGGGCAGATAGCTGACATGACGGAGCAGAAAACAATGTAATATTTGTAGCTTCACTCAAGTCCCCTCTACATATAGAGTTTTTTGTTTTGTATCAATTTTTTTTTCATCAAATCCTGTAATTCCTTTGCTGTTCTTGTATTCTACCAAAGTGCATAACAGGTTGTGGTGGGGACAACTCCATTCAAAAAAATTCATTTAAAAGAAAAATATTAGCAGCTTTTCATAGAGGTCACACTCTGTATGCAAAAATATGGAGCATTAAAATAATCAAAATAGAAATGCTTTTCACAAGTCAAAGTTTTCCTGTGTGTGGCTGGACACATCTGTTACAAATAAGAAGGTTCATAAATCATTGCAGACAAAAAAAGAAGAAAAAAAAAGGAAAAAAAAGAGCATTCGCAGATCTCTCATAACAGTCATATAATCTCTTTTCATTTAGTGAAAGATATAAATTTTCAAAATTCAGGGTCACTACCTCTGCATTGATCCATGTTGTATGGGGACAAAACCCATAGTGGTGCCTTATGCATGTCGCTTGCAAGCCTCTGTTTAGCTAATTTCACTTTAAGGAGCTAGACAACTTGGTAGAAAAATTTTAAACAAGAGGGAGGGATAATGGGACAATACTTCAGAACTGAAACAGAGGAGTCTTTCTCACATTGGTAATGCGCTGTGATCATGCTTCTACCTTTCACTTTTACAAAGCAGAAAATAAGTTTATCAACATAAGATACATACTTGAGTTTATACAAATTACATGGATTGAAAACTTGCTTATTACAATGCTTAGCTAGTGTTCAACTTAAAGAACAGTTTTGGGAGCATCTCGACCCTATATACTTAAGAGTAGTGATGCAAAAACTCTGTAATTATTTCAGTTCTTGGGTTACTTATGAGCTCTTTTCATCTCAGCAGAGCTTTTTGTTGCTGTCCTTCCCAGGACCTAGCTGTGCATAGCGAAGTGAAGCAGACAGTATTAATCCAGGAACAATTTTTTTAAGGGTACACACTAGCTGTTCCTGAAATCCCATTCTGTCTTCTGTGTATTAACAGCATTGCAAATGATGTGAGGACACAGGAAATTCTGCTGTAGCAGCACTGACACATTGAGTAGCTGCAATTTTGAAGGCACTAAAACCCGTGTGATCAGCTAGAAAGAAATTAAATTGATTCTCTGAAACTAATCCTAAGTGCTATTGCACATTGGTCTATGAAGGAAGACCTGCCTGAAAGCCTGCTGAGGCTGACAGAGATTGGCATTCAGCAAACTTGGATGAGGGCCGCTGAGGAAAACAGAAAATAACCACTTCTTGATTTTGCTTTGAGCCATTCTGGAGGACGTATTCCGATCTGTGAGAAAATTTTGTCTCTTCTGCAAGATATCAGGTGGTATAGGATGTCAAGCACTACAGGGGCTCCAGATGTAGTGTCCACAGGCTGCATTGCTATCATTCCCAATCCGCTTTGAAAAAACAAACTTGCTTAAAACATTGACACATTGACCTCTGTTCTAAAGGAAATGATGTACAAAGAAGGAAACTTTTGGAAAAGTTCATTACAAATTGGTTATCAGATAATTCTGGCCTGGTAGGTATACTGGTATGTTTTGTCACAACAGTTCTGAGAACGAAGCCTACAGTGTAGGCTTCAAGATACGGGAACAATTCCAGGTTTGTGGGGTATGGAAAATTCCAGGCAGTGGCATTACCTGGACACATTTATCCAAGCTCAGTAGATTATATGCCGTGCAGACCTCTAGTCCCACAGAATCTTAATGTAACATATACTTCATGCAACAAAAATTGTGCAAGAGATTTGTAGCCTTAGAGCCTGTTGACAAAAACAGGTGTTTTTGTCAGGTAAGGCTGTGGTAAGCACGTTGGAAGAGAAATCAGGAGGAATTTAATATAAGTCTTCCCTTTCCACCTAAAGAAACCAAACCTGATGAAAGAATAAGATAAAGAAACAAAACTGATGGCAGAGATTGCCCCCATGTGCAATGTTGGCACTGTGTGCAAAGGCTGAAAAATATAGTCACAGCACAGGTAAGAGTGAGCATGGTACTGGCTCTGAGGCACACATCTGAGCAAGTGAATCTGTGTTGTTTACTGCATTTTGTTTCATTTCCCTAAACTATCCTGTTGCAATACAAGTCCTACATACTTGACCCTCTATAGCTTGCTTGAATTCTGGAACTTTAAAAAACAAATTATACCATAAAACAAATTATACCATGCATCTTGAAACATGATTCAGAAATGTCAGCAATCTGCACTGAAACGTATTTATTGAATATCTTCAGTCTACCTATAAGGTATGCAGTGAATTTAATCTCAATATTTCATATTTGGTAATAGCTAAAGGTGATTTTAAAAATCATTTACTGATCACGAACTAAATATTTTCAGAAGACAGTGCCTCAGAATAAGCTCTATCTGCACTGAACACACCATCCAACGGTCCAAGTGCAACCTCTGACAAAAAGGTAGAAGTGTTCCAGAAGAGTGAACTCACTTTTTGCTGATGAATGAATAATAGTTGCTGCTGATATTTCTGTGATTTATGTGGAAGTCCTTTAGTTGTTGACTGTAACCTGTCAATACCATTCGAGAGAGAGAGACTGGAAATTATTTTAGAACTTTAAGGTGCTCTTTTTAGAGAAATGTGACTAGTACAGAAAATGACAAGGTTGCCTCTGAAGTAATCAAAGCATACCAGTGCTATCTACAGGTAATTTGTCTTGCTATGACAATGAAGAATGTGTTTTTGTTACCCAAGATTCTATAACTAACCTTGATATATCTTGGTTGAGACTGAGATTTATGTAACGCCAATAATATATTAGCTTATCTCTCAGATGAAGAAACAAAAATTGGCAGATAAAAATGTCTTCCTTTGTGGCCATTGGTGTCTTAAATCAAAGATTCACCAAAGTGTCTCAGTTTCCTAACTGTATAACTGAGGGAATAATCCATTACTCTGAAGACTTTTGTAAAGCTACGACAGAAACATACAAAAACATAGGATATAGGAAGATTAACATTACATTGTTTGAATTCTCAGATGTTAGCTCTTGGACACCCATTTTTTTACAAATTAATTGAAAATGAAAATGACAACCTGTCCATACTGATAACGCCTCCCATTTTTGAATTGCCCATATCGAATGATACTGCAAAAAGATGTCAGAGTAGTTATTACAGGCTATGAAATAAGATTGCTCATTTTTTTTTCAAAGAGTTTCAGAATGCAAGGACTGCTTGACTATTAATAAAGACACTATTGACAATTAATAAAGACACTGAATATATTTGTATACTTCATTATGGCTTTATACAATAGGAATAATTCCATTGAAAACAGTTAATGCTTTGAGAGGTCCAACTTGTTTTTAACGTTTTGATGGTAGATACAACAGTTTCCAGATCTTGAACATAAGAATACACAGATTACTAGTAGCTTTAATTTTAAAAGTCATGTGGTTTACATTATTAGAGTGAAAGAGCCATTAATCTCACATTTATGTTCTGAAATGTTTTCAAAGTAGATAGGAAGTTTTATGATATCTTCATAGGAAGCTGATGAGGTCAGATTCCTTAATATGTTAGGGAAGCTGGCAGAAATTAGGCAAGTGGCCAACGTCAGGTCTATGTTTGATCAAAGTGGTGTAACTGCAGGAGAGTATTATATTGGCCAATCAACAGTTTTAGGCCAGGTTGCTTGGAAAATTATTGGGAAGATAATGTTATGAAACCTGTAACTAAATACATTTTGCACAAAGTTTTTTTTGAGACATACCCAATCAGGCAGCAAATGAATTGAGACTGCTTACAGTACACAAATTACTGTCCTAAATCTGGACACCACTGCACTGTTTCCTATTCTGGTGTGGCTGGAAAGACTCAGAGGAGGCACGAAGCGTACTCAGATTGTGTCCAAGCATATACACAGGATGGAAAAGCCCTGGCTTTTCTATTTTATGATCACTGTTCAGTTAATCAGACACTGGGAAAATACTCTGAAAGCAGTTCAGACCCTAGAAATGGACACCTGTGAAAGAAAAGATAGAAACGTAATTTAAAATTGCACTCATTTTATCCACTCCTTTGTCCCCTTCACTTTCAGCCCCCAAACAATCTTTTGTTTAGAAGTCTCAATGTTATTTTTAGATGCTTATGGCAAGACTTTAAAAAATGCTTTTTTTCCCCCTTCAGCTAGCACATAAGAGCTCCAAGAAATTTTCTTCATGTACTATTGTCAGGCCCAGCAGGAGTCTGAATTGCTGATAAGCAATCTTCCCTATCAGACGTAATTCATCTTTTAACTACTAGAAAGAACTACTGATGGATTGACATGAGAAGAAAAAGCAAGAGCATGAACTATTAAATACTGAATTAGAAGCCTATAAGTATGAACTAACTTTGACAAATAAGTACTGAAAATTTATAAGAAAAAACAACCCGTCCACATGAATTGTATCGTAAGAGCTCACCTGCCTATGAAGATGATACATTTTTCATCGTGTTTATGAAATTTTCATAGTATTACTTTGCCAGGTCAGAACACTGCCTGAGAAACTGCCTGTAGGGCTTTAAATACACCAAACTTGCATGCAAGCCATTAGTGGAGGAAGGACAGCACTGATAATTGTATTGCAGATACGTTTGGAGGCAGCCTAAGAGCCTGCTAAGGCACCTGCGAAAGTGCCTTAGGAGAGGAATGGTGAACTTGTGATGCTGACTGAGAACTGATACAGAGCTCCCCGTGGCGCTTCCAGGGACAAAATAAGCACCCGCTTAAGGCAATAAGTTGGTGCTAGCCTTCCAACTATTCTGCTTTCCTGAAGCTGCGGAAAGTTATGAAGGCAGAAAGCCCTGGATTCGTGAGTGCTTGCATTTTGATGGATAAGCTTCTTGTCCATGGAAACCATAAAAGCAATTACCTCAGAGAAAAGAAAAAAAAAAAAAAGAAAAGCTGTCAGGATAGAGTCCTGCTGTAGGAAAAACTATACCAAGATTGTAGGAAGGGAAATAAATAGAAAGGAGATGAAGAATGAAAACATTTTATTTGCATGTCCTCCTCTTCTCAAACCATCTTCACCGTCTTCTCCCCACCTCAAACATCACCTCAAAGTCGCCTCTCCTGATTCTTCAGTAGTGGTTTCAGCCTTACTGTCCATGACCACGTAGCTAACCAGTACTGCTACTGACTTAAACGGTAAAAATGAAAGAATTAAAGAGAGTAGCTTTTGTATTGAGTGTATGAGGCCTGTGAAGCAGAGCCTGTGACCCTGCCTCCTGGGCTCACACTTAGGAGGCTGCCAACAACTTTCTATTTTTCTGTCAGCTAGTTCCCAGGGTGTGGCCCACCCTTAATATAGGGCCCAGCTTTTGGATCTAAGCTCTAGGGACTGATGTAGCTCTTTTAGGCACGCATAAGGAAGAGAAAGCTTAGTTTTGCAAGATCCCAAGACTATGTTTAGATACTGAATGACTTCTGCCATCTGACAGCACATTCATTGTCTGTGAGTGATGACTGAAAAGACAGATCTGGAAATATTCATTTACTCATGGAAACACAGAATGTCCTTTTAAAAAAGGTGTTCTGCTGTGGTGGTGACATTTTAAGCCTTCATTGTACTCAGTAGTGGCCACAACGACAAGTGTCACAAACCCTAACACACTAAAGGCAACTTACAAACTTAATGCAATAATTCACAATTGATATAGCCGTTGAATAAATGCTTCTGTTCTTTATTCTTCATAAGTGCGTGTGAAGTAAAGGAGTTGTTAAATAGTCACTGAACAGCCATCAGAAGAGATGCTCTGGGTCTGTAATAGTGTTGTTATTCTATTCAGATTAATTTCATTTGTATATCCTACGGTAATTCAGCAACTTAGTTTCCTTTTGTATGAGAGCAAGGAGATTTTCAATCAAATGCATCTTTTCAAACATCTTCAAACCCCATGGCTTGCCAACACAGATAAGAACTTCAGTTGATTTTTTTTTTTTTTAAATATAAACTTCAGACAAGCCATTGTAGATTAAAAATAACATGCTGAAACTTGTGGTTGTTATTGAGTGTACAAATTATCAGAGTAAATTATTATTAATTCTATTAGAAAAGCTTAGTAAGAAGGACTATTCCGTAAGTTCTCTTACTTAAGCTCTTTTACTAGTAACAGGAAATGGAGACTCAATCAAAATATTTCTCTGAAAAATGAATTAACGTCTTTGATCTTTGATTTTGATATCTATTATCAGCTGAATTTGGCTATCAGAAGCCAGGCTGGAGAGCCAATATGAGTTCTGCTAAAAAGGATGAGAAATTTCTCATGATCATTGCAACATTTTTGTAATTGTCTCTTAAATAACATGTGCAAAGTCATCATAGCTGCTTTATGTAATATCACAGAGGACCTAGTCTGAAAACTATATGCAATTAGAGCGGCATGAATTGAATTGCATTCTTTATTTGCCAAGCTACGAAGGTGGAATGAGAATCATCTTGTCATAAAAAGGAAACTGGAGGTAAAACCACTCATCTAACAAATAATAATTATTAATAAAGTGAAGTAGTGGCTTCTGCTGTGACACTTTCAGAGCTATTTCTTCATGGAATTGAAACGTGTGGGCTGAACTGAGGAAAACTTCTGAATGTCTCTAACAGTTAAAAATACTGGTCTTAACACATACAAAAATGCCATGATGTTGAAGAGAATATTAAGCTTAAGGAAAAGGAAACATGTTCTTTCACATCCCTCCTAAGGAAGCTGTACTATAATTGCAAATCATTACAAGAGTTGAGCCCAAAATAGTACTGACAATTGAAGTGTCCACCAGCATCACTTCTTCCCTTGAGCATGCAAAGGCTCTGAATGCCACATAAAGCAGGGTACTGAAAATAAACTTTAACCATGGGATTTTGTGAGCTTTTATCTATTCTTGTTTTGTTCCTGGCAAAACTTTAAAGAATTGACTAGTTCATGTCCACATTTAAATGTGGATTAATAGGAAAAATGTGCAGGGACTTTGATAGCATAATTAAAAATAATGTGCATCTTATCAGTGAAATACTGTTTGTGGTGGAGAAGGTACAGTGATTTCCTGCTGGTGCTTTCATTTTTTCCCAATAGCCAGTATGAAGGCTAGTTTGAGAAAGGTCAAATACTTGCTAAATCTTTGTATTCATGCACGCACATTTGGATCACCATGCATTGCACTGTTGATTTACCATATAGAATGCATAGATAAGTTCAGCTTTAATGCAGTATGTGATGTGATTATAGCAATGTAATATTTGCACAGATCATCCTTTCCTGAAGCAATAAAAATAAATGCTTCTGAGGGTTCTCAAACATTGCTCAAAGCTTTTTTGATGCATTCTTACAGTTGCCTTGGAAACCAACTGTATGTCACAAAATTCACCAAATCTGCTCTCTTCATTCCCTTAAATATCACTGAGTGATTGCTACTCCATTGGTACCAAGAACTGGAAGTTTCAAGTATACTTCAGTACAGAATTTATTCCTGATGTGGGCTTTCATGCCTTGGAAAACATGGATGCTTCCACTGAAAGTGGCACGAGTGTTAAGGGAGTTATCTATGAGCCAGTACTCTTGACCTTATCTCCAATGTATCTGTCAGCAAGACAGAAAGGATCCTGACATTAGGAGTACCCTGTTTATATGTAAATTTGTTTCCCAAGTGGAAAAGCAAACAGGAGCAGTCTTGAAAAGGCAGGAAACAATTCATTGCTGAGAAGTACTCTGAAAAAAGAATTTAAGATCTAAACTTGAACTAACGTTCTCTGTTGCTTGCTAAAAATTAGAGGACTACAAAGGATTTTGTATTTCATTAAAAGAACTACCTGGCCCAAGAAAAACAATGAACTTCCAAAAAGCTCACGTGGACTCAAAAACATGTTTCTATTGGGTGGTATCACAGAAAAAAAAAGGTCCCCAAGCAGAAATCATACATTTATAAAAGTATTTTTCTATGAAAGATTCATTTAAGAGTAGTAATAACTGTAAAACCCTTTTAATTACAGATATACCTCACTAATAAGACAGTTACCTTAAAAGTCAGAAATGATGAGCAGCTGCTATTAGTTTCTCAAGTGTATTTTAAAAGGAGTGTTAAAGAGAAGTCTCTTTAAGATTCTATCTAAAAGATATTTTCATTATATATTGTAGCAAAAAAGATTTGGTTTTTAATTTGGAAGGATTTCCCTGTTCATACTAAGAAGTTCAACTCTGACCAACATGGAAGCCACCTACAGAAGTAACTGCTTAAAAATCCTATCAATATTAAAATATGTCAGCAAGAACAGATTTTGCTTTTATTAGCTGTTTTAGAAAGTTATAAGATGGCTTTTCATATCAAATCAATTAAACAGAAAAACAAGTAATTCATAAGCCTCAGCTTGTCTTTTTTTTTTTTTGTAAAGATTAGACAGTAGCTTCTAAGTAGTTCAAAATACATAATAAGGCAATGCATTTCTTAGCTGTTTCAGGCCTTCTTGCACATTTCCATGACACAATGTCTGTAAGTACAATGGCATAATGCCCACTGGGGAAAAGATTGGAATGCTATTTGTTCCCAAAACCGCATTTCCTTGTAAGGGAACAGTCTTAACTTGGCAAACAGTTTGCAACCTTTCACTACATTCAGATAAAATCAAGGTTGTCTTTTTTATTATTGCTACTTTTTTCCTCTTAACCAGAGGAGAAAAACATCTTTGGTTGGTAATGCTGAATATGAAATGGATTCTTCCTTTCACAGACCCTATAAAGTTCATTCATAATGGTTAACAAACAAACCATGTAAAGAGTGTGACTTGAGTGCATCATGAACAATTTCTGTAAGCTACATTGGTACAGTGGAAGAACTGCAGCTATAAGGAAGCATACAGTCTACTAATGGGTGTTACTCTATATACATATTTACAGAATAATATAAACGATACTTAATTGCATAGGCTGACAAAGTATTTTTGATTTGCTGCAGCTGACTAGCATTTCTTCCAAAACAGCAATTCCAGAAATAATGGACTTGCAGAAAAGGGCTGAGAAGTTGTATACTGCATTGATTGATATTGCCTCTGAATTTAGACCCAAAGCAACTGTTCAAACATTTAATGAATGTTTGACATTATGCTCCTTGAGCGCTATTCCCAAGGCCTAGATTAAGTCATAACATAACATGAAACATTGTCTTGTTTCTTTGGAGGTTAGGAGCTTTGGTAACTTCAACAAAATAATTTAACTAGACTTTTTTTAAACACCACCCCTTAATCTCTTTTCATGAAGTACTCCTTTCTTCATGGAAAAGGGAATATTTCAGGATAAGATTTCAGTGAGAAGGAAAGAAAAATGATGGAAAATGCTTTGTATTGTTTGAGAAGCAATAGATCAAATAACTGGAATGAGGGGAAGATTAACCCGAAAGGGAACAGTGTTAAGGAGCAGAATAAAGACCCATGAAAAAAATATGAGATTGGAAAGCTAAAGAATAAGTTTGGGAAATAAAACTGAAGGGGAGAAAAGGCTCCCAACAGAATTGAACTGAGCAATGAAAATCTGAAGTCTCAGCTGCCAGAAACATGGATGATGCTCCTGTGGAGCAGGAAAACAAGCCGTTGAGCTCATACCTAGCCTCCTGGCTCAGGTCTTACTCCTGCTGCCCATTTCTGTCCACCCTTTCTGCCCATTTCATAGGCCTACACTTTCTTAGGCTATATAAACTAAAGACTCCATTTTTACCTATTGAGAAGGCAATTAACATAAAACTCATGAAATAAAAGCCACCCAGACACGAGATTTGATATTCCATGGATTCACCTGTCTTCAATGGTGAAAGCTGAGCCTGAACACTTTTCTGCATACACTTGAGCAGTACAGTAGTGCAGTAGGCTGCAGTAATCTGTGTTCCAAGTCTGAAGTGAGTACGTACAGATTTAAAAGCTTTCTGTGGAACTGAGTTTGGATTATCTTTGTGTTGTTTCAATATCTGCCTGTACGCTAATGCACAAATTCCATCCCCATGAAGCAAGCAAAGTCTTCAAACATTTCAAGGTCTGCAAACAGTCACTCCTGTACCTTGCATGTCCTTAGTTTACAGCTGCACACACATAAAAATAGCCTCTGAGAAGTTTGCCTGATGAATCAGTTCAATGAAAGAGTAATTTACAAAGCCCCATACAAAACCTATATTATCCATTTTTTCCGAATAAAGAAAAAACAAATCTTTAGGAAACATCTGGCTTCCCAGAATCTGTAGGAAGTCTATGGTTAACTCCCTCTTCAGTAGCTTAAGTAGTATTTTGTTACTGTGAAGTAGGAGCATTTTGATAAAGCACTAGAAATCGTCTTGACCAGAAAACCTGCAGTGATGGATAAACATTTCTGGAAAAATGCCTGTGTTTACTCAGTGTGCCTAAATCTGCTGCAGTGGAGAAAATAGGGTGCTACATAAATGTGATGATACCGAACAGCGTGAACTGATACTGAATATGAAACAGGCATCAACCAGGCAAGTAGCACAAGTCACCACATCTGTTTACAGCTTAGTCTGTCAAGAGATAACATTTGAACTCAATCCTACTCAGTTATATATAATTTACACAAAATTAAGTATAGGCATATAATATGGAGGAAATAGGGTGGGGATGGAAGAGAATTTATTTCCATCCAGAAAGCAGTAGCAGCAAATAACCCACTTTAAATTTGTATTTAATGAGCTTGAGAAAACACGGGCTTCTTTGGTTAGGCCGCAGAACCATAGCAGAAGTCCCCAGAGACACCTACCACATGGACGCCTACCTACATTTGTCAAATGTGGGACAGACTACAGACAGAACTCAGTTCTAAGATGTTTGCTGCCACCTAGTGTCGTTATTTTGCTTCCCACCTGTAAAAATGACCATTTTAGCTGACAAATTGGTTTAGAAGATAAACTAAGGACATATATGCACATTATTCTGCAGCAGACGCTGCAGAAGATTAACTGAATGATGCTTTATATAAGTTCAGGAGCTTACTTGTTGTCACAGCAGGTCTTTTGAACGTGGTAACTGCAGGACCCTAATATTGAGTTTTGGCTTATTTCAGTGCACTAAGAAATACCATTTACTGTGGACTGGAAATGGATGTTAGAATGCAGTTTTTGTTTGTTTGTTTTCTGGTTATTTTAAACAGGGCTATTGGAAAAATATCTGTCATTTGGGAGCATCCCAAGATCTGGGGGACATGCAAATAGCAAACACCAAATATACTGCCTACTAGTTAAACTGAAATGAGGCTGTCTTGTCAGAAGACATTTTTAAATTTTAAGTTCACCTACTGTGATTAGTTTTGTTCATAAAACTCGAGGTACATCCCTCACATTCTGCTCTACAGTGTACTGTCTCTGCCTGTTGACTGACTACAAGCCATCCAGTCACACCAAAATTTTTGGAGATGGAAAATGCCTGACACCTTTCGCACCATATAACCAGTTCACTATTTGGCAGCTATCAAGTCCTTTTTGGACATGTATCAACATCTATTTTTGGAAAGTAAGAACAGACCACTATATGGAAGAGAACCCCTTTTACATCTAGAATAATTTTTGACTCAGGTCCCTAGCTAAAAAGATACAGTGGAGATGCTTAGCAAAACATTAAATATTTTTGTTAAAGAAAATAAAAAAATAGCCTAATTTTTAGAAGCAGTTGTCTGTCTTTTCAGAAGAGTCCATTAAATGTATTTTTTCAGTTACCCTGATAGTAACAGCTTTCCTGCCACAGTAGAAGACCAGACAATGTCCATAAGTTTTAATTCCCATTATAAAGACTGGAATTATAAATCTTAAACCTTTCCAGACTCAAGTTTTGTATAAAAAGTTTTTGCTATTGGCAACTAATCTGAAGACTACAGATGTAACAATACACTTCATCACAACAGTATAAATCTAAAATATTTGGACTAAGAATTTTTCTGCAAAGTATTTTTGGTATCCAATAAAATGATTAATAATTTGGTATTACTATGCCAGAAGAGTCACTAAAGTAACCTTATTTTAAATTCAATGATTATGAAGTGAGCACAATAATCTGTCAGTACAATGGTGCTCATGTATGTATGTGATTACCATAACTGTAACAATTCAGAACCAATCCTTCGATGTGCATCCTGGTATAAAGTACTTGACAAGGATGTTTGCAGCAGGAAAATGAGAGTGCCTGTGGAATTTACCTATACAATGTGCTACTGACAGAATAAGCATACCCTTTATTTATATTGCTATTCAAGCTCAATTAAAGATTTGAAAAAAAAAAAAAATCTGCATTTGGGGAGCAGTCTTTCCTACTGAAACCTTTTCAGCTTTTATTTGTGCCTCACCAGCCATGTTGAGCCAGGGCTTGGTCTGCAACGTAACTGAAACCATCCCTGAAAGTCTGGATCAGAGCAGACTTTAAGTTGACCAGTTGGTGCAGGCAAAGCCACATGAATGGTATTTTAAAACTGTAGCCAGAAGTCATTCTCCTGTAAACACCCATCAACTCTGTCAAAATCATACATCTCCATATAAAGAATCTTAACAACTCAGCCCTGATGCAAGCTCCCAGCACCAAGGTGAGGCCATTTAACAGGAGATGATGTTTTGGAGACTGGGGGATAACCCAGGTGCTAACCCAAATTAGCGGTTAGATGCTTTTTTTCTTTTTCTTGATTTATAAGTTTTGGGCCTGCCTAGCATAATTACTTGCTAAATATAGTTCATTACAAATCTCAAGCATCTGCTCCTAATCAGCTGTGAACACCAACATGCCCCTTTATGTTAAGCTCTCTTTAGGGTATTTAAGTCTGCTGAAAAAAATGTGCCTTGAAAGCACAGTTACTTCTTCACATAAGAATCACTCAAATGTTGGGGAAAACAGTCTTAGTCCTCAAACCTATCAGTACTGGTTTGATGACCAATAATGATACTCAACTTCATATATTTGCTTTCAATTTCTGGTACAATTGCAGAGAGGAAAGTAATTTTTAAATCTTTCCCTGCAAGACTTTTACTTGACCCTTATTATTTGATCATAATATTACAAAATACTATTGAAAATACAAAATGCAGAGGAAGATTGAAGGTTGTAGTTTCAAAATGCAAAGCATTTAATAACCTCCCTTATCCTTTATCACTCCCGTGAGTATACATACTCATTTTCATCTCTGACCTCCTTTCTTCTAGTTATGTCCTTGTGCATACTTTCTCTGCCATCTCCTTTTCCTGTTTTTTATTTGACTCACCTCACACAGCAGAAAGCTGCATATTTGATCTGCATGTGGCTGTATTGACCCGAAGTTCATTGGTTTTGTGCTGGTCAGACACTTCACATCTGGAATGAAAAAAAAGTGGGAAGGACATTGTTATATCATTATTTGTAACATTTAGCCCACCTGGCAGTTTCTCAGAAGATGTCTTCTAGACTGAAAAATGCACTGAATGCCTAGTTGATTCACCCTGTTAAACTTAATTTATTGGAATATACTTTTTTTTTTTTTTTTTTTTTTTTTTTGTGAGCAGCTCTTACTTAAATTATCCAGGTGTCTGTTTTGAACTGCTCTGGAAGTACAGATTCTCTCACTTATTTTTAGGAAAACAATTGCCCTGCATTTAATAAATCTCTGCACTAGAAATATATAACTAACAGGATACAAGCCTGTGCTCTGCCTTGCTAACTCAACCTTAATCAGGATTTTTCATTACAATAACCTGCAACCTCACATTTAGGAAAAAATTACTACTCTGAACATCATCCTTGAACTACAGTGTGCATCCCACTGTTGTTAGTACTTTTGGTAGAAGAGCATTTTAACCTCTTTTGGAACGCATCACTTGCATGACAACAAGTCACCTCAGCTTTCTTTATGGTGGAAAGTATTTCAAGCATTAAAAGTGATGCCCTGGAAAAGAAAATCCATTGCAAGTTGGTGGGTGGTAGTGCTGGTTGTGGCCCTGCAGGAAAGGCATATGCTCCAGGTCATCGAGACAAACCACATCCACTAGCCACAGAATGGCAGCCTTACTTTGTGGCTGCAGGTGGAGTCAGGACTGGCATCCTGTAGCTCCTAGAGCAGGTTTCTAATGAGGTGGCAGTTGTCATAGAATCAGCTAGGTTGGAAAAGATCACCCTCTCTGTGAAGAAATTCTCACTAATACCCAATCTAAACCTTACTTGGTGCAATTTGAGACCATTTCTTCCTTTCCTATCAGCTACCAACTCAGAAAAAAAGACTGACACCCTCCTCAGGAAGTTGATATGGCCTTCCATCAGCCCTCCTCTCCACATGAAACCACCTCAGTTCCTTCAGTCTCTTCTCACATCGTGTTTTCTAGTCCCTTCACCAGCTTTGTTGCTCTTCTCCACCCACACTGGAGCATTTCAATATCCTCTTGGAAGTGAGGGGCACAAAACCAAACACAGCATTTCTGAGAGTAGTTACTGTGGCTGGATCACAGTGACTGCAACACCAGGCAGAGGTAGATAGAGCTTCTGCATTTTCTTTATGGTTTGGAAACCGATGCCGAGTTTAATCTGAAGTATCATGAAGAATTCAGTCTTGTTATAAGATATAAAATGGTGTCTTGTATCTTCTTGATTCCTGGTAATGGCAGCCACAGCATGTTCTCTGAGCACTGGAGGGCACTGCAGCACTGAGAAAGAAACGCACTTCTGAAGGCCTTTCCAGAAAATAATGAATGTTTGCAGATACAAGCAGGGGTTAGGGGGTCAGAAAGCAGCAGAGTACTTGATCATTCATTACCGTGCTGCTCAGTCCCCTTTCAGCTGGAAGGGTTACAGCTTTATACAGCCCTGTGAAGGTCTGAGCAAACCTCTACGTAGGCAGGCTGTGTAGCTGCAAATGTGTGCTCAGTGTTTCCCTATTAAGTACACACACTTTCTTTGAATAAGCAAATGGATATTTTAAAAAAGATGTATTACAGTATGTTTGAGATTTTAGTGAATAGGCAGCTAGTTATGCACACCTGAAATATTGCATCCAGGTGGGCTGGGGAACAGGCCTCAGTTTTCTGCAATTATTCTGCAATAAAAACCTCAATTAGGTCATTCTTTATTTAGTTCAGTAATATTTTCCTGAAAGAATCTGGTACCATACTACTTTTTTCTCCCTCCTTCAGCCAAGTCTTCTAGATCTTTATGAGCAGCTACATCTCCCCATAGAGAAGGGAAGGAGAGAATCTCATTAGGGGTGATAGCTCTTCTCTGTTTAAGAAACCAGCATAGAAGCAGAAACCAAGAAAAGCTTATCTGTAGTGAAAATGGAATATTTTTAAGGGAATATTTAAGATGATTAAGAGAAATCTTCACTGTGAATCTCAGAAGCAAATCAGAGATGGTGTGGTAGGTGTGATGGCATTCTACCTTTGCAGTCAGAACATATATCAAAAATATAGCTTTCTCTTGTTTTTCCTCCCACTCACAGCATTTCCACTTCTTTGCACCTCCAGTCTTCAATTATCTTCTTCTCAGATGTTAATATATTGCTATTCTGTCACTTTCCATATTATTGCTGTCTTGTTACATCGTATTCCCCTTGCATTACAGTTCTGTCCTTCATCCTCCATTTTGCTGGATTTCACCCTCCTTTACCCCTCAAATCCTTTTGCTTGGTAGTGTCTCACCATCACCTACCATTTCTAATTCTCCAGCTACATCAAGTCATTTCTTTTGATCTCATCCTTGTGCCCTTCCCCATCCTTTTTTTTTTTTTTTTTTTTTTTTTTTTAAAAATCCCCCCAGGGTCAGAGTCGTCTTCCTTTGTTTAGGAGTTGCCTGTCTGAAGCTCTCCCCTGATAACTCTGCTTAGGTCTCTCACCAGTTATTAGGTAAGGGGTAGTCGACAGCAAGAGAAGTAAACATTCATAGGTGCTTGGAACTGTGGTGCAAAACAGGTTGCAGTGCTAATAGGAGGAACAGGCAGATAGACTTCCTAGGGTTTCTGTGAAATTGCTTCCAAATAACCATTTCATCCAAGGTAACAGGATCACATTTTAGCTTCCAGGTTGCAACAACCTCAGACCACGCACATCCCTGATTCTTAGGTCTGTCTCTGGGTGGCAAGCAGTGATTTTACTGAGCAGAAAAAGCTTTGCAACCTTGTGAGAAAAAGGGATGGCAAGTACACTTACTTACAGCAGTGTTAGCTCCTGGGGTGAGGTATCAGGAAATAAATGCAGTTGTCTTACAAACCTATGATCTTCAGTTCCATTCACGCTGGGCTGTGTACCAAGTTAAGAAAGCAGTTATATGTGCTTTAAACTTGTGGCAAAGACCAAACCAAACTCTTACTGTGGCTGTAAGTCACATTCTGTGAAAGGTTTCAGCAATATCTGCTACTTAGAACTGAATACGAAAAAAAAAGGTTATTTTGATTCAGCAGTATTTATATCAATATGAAATAAAATTTCATATTCAAAGCTGCATGAAATTATTTATCAGGATAAATAACCTTTCAAAATACCAGAATGAATTCTCTATTTGAACCTTATCTGAAAGGGATTTAGTTTCTCTGGTTCATCCACTTGCTTACTTCTATTTCAGAGTTAGGCATCTTTCCTGCCAATAAAAAAAATGTACTCAAGCTTATAAAATCTAAATAAAAACAGATTTCTTGCTGTCTATCTACTAATGTCTGAGCTAATCAGTGATAGAAGGGGAGAATAGGAAAAAAGCCAGAGCTATTTTGTGCTTGGAATCACAAACTCTGTCTTGTGATAACATTATTCTGGAACCATTTATTCATTGCCCCATCAAACTTGTTTAGACTAAAAAGGTCAACTAAAGATGCAGGAGAAAGATTTCCTTGTACTGAAGTGAAGAGATGTAGCAGCTGGAAAATGTAAAGTTCTGCTCAAATAAAATAGTCTTCAAGAAGATGGCAAGCCTGTATAGATCACTAGAAATTGAAGAATTTGTTTTGACATCATTTTGGTATAAAAATAAGCTTTTCATGCTCTTTTTTGATTATGCAGGGACCAAAGACCACCTATGACATCCTTCTTCACAACAGAGTGAATAACACTGCAGGGCATGGAAAGAGCAAGAGACAATATCCTTCAGAGTCAGTAGTGCTCCTCACGTGTATGGATGAGGGTAGGGAGAAGACATGCATTGCTTCTACCCATGAAATATGTTGCATTAAATGCAATTTGCCAGTGCAAATTTTCCCTTCATAGTAAGTCAATCGTATGGACTAGAGACCATGCTATGGACTGTTTGTGGAGGCGCTTGCTCAATTCTTATGACATAGACTTGTTTCCTGCCTAGGAGAATAATGTCATTTCTGTGTGCTATACTGCAGTTCTCTGTATGCCAGATATCTAAGGTAGCATCTAGCATCAAATTATCTTCTTGTCTGTGCTGGTTAGCACAAGCATTCAAAGATGGTCTCCCGTCTCCTTGAGTGGTCAGGTTATTCAATCAATTCAATTTGACTATTTTATCTGGTTCTGGAGCTGTCTTAATTGCTACTAAACAGAGCATTTTAAATTCACTTTATGGGTCTTTGATGGATCAGAAGCAATTTTCCAGTTCAAAACAATGTCCGTGTACATAAAATATTTGTAATTGTCTCCAACTTAGAGTGTTAATGCTGCAGATAGCATAACAAGCTGATCTGATTATGCCCAGCATTATTCAGAAAGGGAAATGCTTTCACTCAATGTTGCTAGGCTACCAGCTTTATTTACAGATAGTCAGAAGCTTTCAGGGCAGAGAGCTCTGAAAAGCTTCAAGAGCAGATGTAGGAAGGGGAAAACATAAATGCCACTGATGATGCACTAGAATTAATTTTGTTATACTTTGGGATCCCAGTGAGAGAACGGGTAAGCAGCAGACACCTCAGCACTTAACTAACCTATCATACCACAAGCAATTCAGAGTTTAAGCAGAGAGCAAGGTGGATTGGAACCACTGGAATTGCACAGGAGTTAAGCCTGTCAACAAATTGATTTCATTTTTTAATTTTGGAAGTCAGCAGTTGAAAGATATGTATGAAGAAATTGAAAGCTATATATGAAGAAGAATGTATATAAAAGCAGTAAAGGGCATCTGTGGAAGATTCTGTTAAGATGAAAAAATCTGCTTTTAATGGATGTTTAGTTTGGCTAGCTTAACAAAATTGAGCTATTTTGCTTGAATTTTGCTGTCATCATTTCATCTGAACACAGACCTTCAGCACTTTGGCATACCACTTGTTTAGTTGTATGGCTATCCAGAAAAACAACTTTGCCTTCAAGGTTCACACAGCTTATTCTGAAGGACGGACAAGCACAGGCAGTGCTACAATTACAAAGCAAACCTACCTGCAACCCTTCACAGCCTGTCCCCAGGGTCCTTTGCCAGCTTTGTCTTTTCCAGGGTGCAGTAAGGGCCAGCTGCTTCCTAAGACACCAGGAAGCTGGGAACCTTCACCCATGTCATTGTCCCCCACACCTACAGGTGGCATACAGCACTAGGAGTCATAACATCACTCATCAGCCTCCTCAGACAAGCAGAGTGATTGGGCCATGCCCAGGGTCCTGCCAGGAACAACAAAAAAATAGAAAAGAGGCAGAACTAGAGGACAATGCCACCAGCCCCATAGATTAGGGAGGGATGAGGGCCCAGGCCTGAGCTTAAATAGTGCCCAAGGCCTACGGCAGTGGGTGCATGGGTAGGAGCCACAGGTGAGGCTGTTCAGGGCAATCAGGGCCTCTTGCAGAGCTCAGGGCCTTTATTTTATCCATTAAACAACTACATCTGGGGGAGAACGAGTACACTCAAGTCTGGGCTTTGGTGATTGTATGTTGGAGATGTCATTTAAGTGCAGAGTTGGAATCCAAAACAGCAGTTTCCCCATGTTCTTGGTTTAAGCATACCTAATGTGTTTTTTTTTTTTAGTGATGAAGCAATTTGTGTAAACAGAAATCAGTCAGATCTCTGGAATACAACCCCATCAAATACAGGACAGAAAATTGATCTTTGCCAGGATGGCTGTGATGGCTCTAAGTCCTGCCCCATGAGGAAGCAGATACCTGAATCTCCAAAACAAATCACTTCTACAAATGTGGCAGCTTCAAGTTTTCACATCTAACTGTTTTGGAAACACATTTATCTTGCTGTTGTCACTGAAAGATATGGAAACTTACAAGTGTTTGCACATGAGCAGGCTTAATGAAAAAATCCTGCAGATACACAATAGGGGCTTTTTCCAGCTGAAGGAATAACTGAGGAAATTTGCAATGGGTGAAATGCTGCTGTCTGGCTGCTCACCGTGGCTGCACCATAAGCTTGATAACTAAAACTTGCTGAACATTGTGAGTCATATTAGGCTGTACCTCTGTACCCTGCCTGGCTGGGCCTGTTCATGTCAGTGTGATACAATGCTGGGGAGGGGAGAGGATCTCAGCTGAGAAAAAACAAACACATTAAAAAAAAAAAAAGAAAAGAAAAAAGAAAAAGAGAGAGAGAGAGAAACAAGTAAAATGTGTTTACAGCTTGCTATGTTGGTTTGCAGCTGGCATGCACTAACATCCATCACTTAAATGTTTAAGGCTCTATTACTTAAGCAGATGAGTAGCAGTAGCTGCAGGCACAGAAGCAAATTTTACTCTATTAGCCCTCAAATACCACCTGGAGTAACTTCTCATCATTTCTGGAGTTCCTTTGTTTTACCTTAGTATACCAAAGGACAGAATTTGACTCTAATTCAGACACATTGGGTGAGAGAAAAAGAGGCAAAACGTGTGAGTGGTGTCAAATGTGGGGAGACCATTAGTAACCATCCTTCTCACAGCAAGGGGGCTGCCTCTCACAGCCCATGGTGCCCAGATAACTGCTGGTACCCAGCCTCTCTGCCAGGGGAGCAGTGTTGGTTGGAGTGGGCCAGCAGTTTATTTGCAGTAAACTGATGCCATCTTTCAATGCTGCCCTCGGCAGCAGTAGGCACAGTGGTTATCCCAGGTCACCTTCTGCAAGGAGCCCCAGGGCAATAGCACCTGAGCAAGATGGGAGCTGAAGTGAAGGTCCTCACCCTACATATCCACATGGAAGGCAAATCTAGTTGTCCAATGCTTTGAAAAGATCAGTTGTTTCACAGTCTGTTTCAGAACCAATGCTTAAATCCTGGGAGAAATGGGACTTAAACCATGTCTCCAATCAGCAGTCTGTGTGGCTTAGCTGGCTCTTGTGAAAGTTGGTTAGCTTTACATGGGCAATGGTATTTTATGGGACTTCATCCTTTCTATGCATAGTGGTGGTAAAACAGGTACCTACTCAGGGTTGTAGATAGTGTGAGGTTCTGCAAAAGTGCATTGAGTAGCACTAAAAGTTACAGGGTACTTTCAGACCCACGACATTTAAGGATTTTTGGGGGGGTTAAAAACAAACAAACAAACAAAACATAGAAATCCAACAACCACAGGCCCCTCTAAAATATGATCTGGAGAATTTGGATGAGTGACTTTTGGAGATGATTTACAGCTTATCTGTGTTAATACAGACCTTAATTTCTCTGGTTGTTTTTACTGTGGTGACTAATAGCACCCCCTGGCAGTGAACACGGATGCTTCAATTAGATATGCATTCTTCTTAAGCAAGTCTAATGCTTGTATCAGGTGCTTGAGGGGAAAATGGTCTTTCCTGGATACCTATATGGAATTGTTGTTGTATCGTATTTTTTATGGCATTAAAATTGAGTCTGTGATGAAAAATATGGGAAGGAAATGAATGTATCAAACTTTGTTTTCTACATGTATGGATTAAATGTCCCCAAAGAAATTAAATTTATATGAGACAGAGAGATTTTTTACTCTGCTTTTCTCTCTGAAAAACATCTCTGCATAAGAAAGACTTTTTTTTCCTTATCCGACTATGATAGAAATGTTTAGCAGAAGTTCGGGGTTTCTGAATTTATTTAGAGGAAGCAAGTTGTAAATTAATTTACTCAGTTCAGCCAAATATGTTTTATTAGAAATTTATTACTTCTTAGGCTATTTATCACAGGAATTATAGAAAATATTAACTATTTGATTTAAATATAATTTCCTATTTTTTTTTTTAAGAAAATGCTTTCTTTAAGGTAAATCTAATTTTTAGTTAACAGTAGGGGAAAAAAAAAGTGAACAGTTAAAATGTTTATTGTCTGTGGCTGAACTTTTAAGAGGGTCTGGTTTACTTATTCAAAAGTGTCAGTTAATCAATTTAATCCAGTTTGGGTCAAAACATAAACATTCCATAATCTTAATAGTCATATATGAAAACATCTGGCTTAGCTGTGATCCATTACTTGAATGAAGAAGGCAAATGCCTTGAATTTTCAGTGGATGTTATCTGTGAACTACCTGAAGCACAGAAAGAATTAGATGAATGTACTCATACTAAACTATTTGCCCTAGAGTCCATGCCTCCTTGTTCTGTACAATTCACATTCTTGTTGCATCCATCAGCCATATTAAATTGATTTTTGCATCTCACACTGTCTTGGGACAGACAAATTATCAGATTACTGTGAAAATACACTTATCTAGGAAAGAAATTATTTAAAAAAAAATCAGAATAAATCTTTTTTCTCTTTCTGATAATGCTGCTCGTAAGTGATCTTAGTGTTAGCAGGGTAAAGAGATTTACGGCATGTATGTTTATTTCCTAGATGTTCTTTCAGGAATTAGGACTCAGTGCTTTGAAGAAGAAAACTTTGGCTATCCTTATGGCCTTCTTAAAGAAAACCTAGCATGAGGAGATAAATCATATTTATCGTAGGTGTTCAGTGCAGGTTGATGTAATTTTAGAATGTGAGCTTTTGTGGACTCCCCATGTGCAGTTATCATTTCTGAAGTTTCTGCATCTATCAACATTTTCTCTGGAATTTCTTGTATTTATTTCCCTAGACCTGGTGCAGGTAAGACTGTTGGAGTTAGAGAAGAAATTCTAGAATCCAGGTATTCTTCCTGAGGTACTTTAGGCTCTTGTTCTTTTGTGCCTTTTTTTTTTTTTCTTCCACCTGCATGTGGACTAATTTTCCAGGAAAGAGATTCCATTTTCTTCCTATTTGGCCCTTTTTCTTTTAAAGTAGGCTACCCTTATCTGAAGTGGCTTTATAAGTAGGACAAAGTCAGAATTTCTTAGCATAAACTCATGCAAAATTACTGATTTTTTTTTTTTCTTCAAATTTTTAGTGGTATTGGTATTCTGTAATATACAATACAGGGCTAAATTTAAACAACTTCAAAAATGAAAGGTAGCATTTATTCTTTTATACCCCATCTGATTATAAAATAATCAATTGTCATGCTTGATTTTTTTTTCCTGATATTTGCTGTGAACCCTGTGGCTTGTAATACACTTCGAAATATCATTGGAACAGACTTTCTTGTTATGACAACAGAAGTGTTTTATTAAAAGCGAACTGTCTTATGGTGTCATTTCTCCTTTCCTTCTGTTCAGAAACAGCAGATGCACAGCTGTATAGGTACACTGCCCAAGTAAGAAGTAAACTGAAATTTTAACCCCAGAGGAAATTTAGGCTCTATGTTCTGGATGCAGCCAACCAGGTTAGGTGCTTTCCCCATTTTCCTTAGACAGTTTTTCTCGTTCAGTCTGATGTCTCACTGATTATATCATTCCCTTCTGTAAGAGAGAGACTTATTTTCCTCACAATTTTGTTGTACCTCTAGGCTACAAAAGAGTAGAGCTCTGGGCTCTACTTTGTCCCATTTTTCCCACAGCCTTGTGTTAGCATTTCTCAGTATCTTCACTGTCAAAAAAACACAGTTTAGTGGGAAAGCATGTGACGCAACCGGGTCAAAAGGAGGAGAGGGGATTTAAACAAAGCACTATGACAGATCTCCATCTGTGCAGTTCAGCTGTCACACACGGCCTCCCTGGATGGGAACTAAAAGTGTGCTAATAGACTGTGACTTTCCAAAGGTGTGTAAATAGCAAATGCTTCTTTTGATATATGACATGGAAAATATGGTAGCAGCCTTAAAGATGTCACAACATGGCAAAGAAAGAGAAGTTCAATGTAAATTGGGGGGGTGGGAGTGGCGGGGAGGGAGGGAATAGAGGAGAAGTGGAGAGAGCCTTAAAGGGAAAAAGGAGGTGTCAGATTTGTCAGCCATCGAAGCTGCAGATGGATGACTAAGAAACACAGAAAATCAAATCAAATTGTTATATCTTCTAAAGTATAATCTAGAATTTCATTTGATTATCATATTTTTTTCTGCTTTGTAACTATGTCATCAGGAACCCCTTGCTTTGGTAGAGAGAGGCACAGTTAAGCCTGTCAGCTTTCAGAACAATCTAAATGAAAACAGATCTACTAGGTGTATGTACTACCTCAGGGGTTTGAAGACAAGTAAAAGTTTGTGTTTGGATAACTCTGGGCTCTGAGACATATTTAGAGGACTCTGGAACTGCTGTCCATGTCCTGCCAAGGCCAAAGGGCTAGGAAAACTTCTGTTCTCATGGATGTTAGGTCCTTGTAAACTTTCCCTCATGGGCACGAAACAGAACTTTTTCCACATGAGTGCAGCAGGTGAAAATTATCTTATCAGAAGTGTTTTTAAAAGCAAGTGAGTTAAACATTTCTCCAGCTAACCAAAAGCAGCTTTTGTATAGTATATACTTAAGGCAGAGAGAGCTTGTCGACAGAGTACTATCAAAGTAATGAATGAACTCTCTTACAGCTTCTGCCAGG